GTGGTTATCATAAGTCTTTATTAAAATATGGAAAATACCAGGGAGTCTGGAAATAGTACCCATGAGTGAAATGAAAGTAGTCCTGGTAAAAAGGACCTTTTTTTTTTTTGTTCAGTTGGTGCTGATGTTTAAATTTCAAAAAGTTAGCTGAGTCATGTTGCATACTTTGCTGCTCTTCCTTCATACTTCTTAAAGCTCAGTATTGGCTCGAGTTGCTGCTCTGCTGGGGAAGTGACACTCAGCTGCTTTCAGTGCTTAAGTACAGTTGATTGTGGTTCAATCCTTGTTCAAGTAACAGAAAGACTCTCCTCCTTAACCTCCCTCCCTGCCACTCACCCTCACTGGATTAATCCTACATCCTGTCCATCTTGCTACTTCACGAAACCGGCCTGGTTTGAGACAGCTCTCTGTGCTTTGGGCTGCAGAGAATGAGCTTAGCTCTGAACGTGTAAGCAGCTGCAAAAGGCAGGCATGAAATGCAGGCAGCTTCTATTTTAATTTTTCAAGTCTTAGTGATACGTGGTTGGAAGCTTAAAAGTAAGTTTGAATTACAGAAAAGTGAGATTTTTGCAGTCAAGAAACAGTTTCTCCAACAGTGTTTTCATTTTTTATTTCCTTGGATATTGTTGGCTCTTACTGACAGTGCAAAAGCATATCGCCGTGTTGGGTAGCCTCTTGAGCCACAAGTGATTTTAACTCTTCAGAGTTCCTGAAGAATCTCTGTTTTGCTCTGATATGCTGCGATCTTTAGGAGTGTCCTGCATTGTGATATGGCATGTTAATAGCATTGATTAACTGTCAAGCAGTGAGAACTGATGAGAAAATGTCCATTGTAAATTTAAATGATATTACTGAAGACTGTGTCATGCTGCTGGTTAGGGAGGTGACTAGCCCTGGTAGTCACTGGTAGGAGTATTAATGTGAGCTCCAGGTTTTTTCGCATGATTAAAACAGGCCATCTGTTCTTTGTTAAATGTTTACAAAAACAGCTTTTCTCTAAAAGATTTAAAGAGATGTGGGTCTAGTAAACAAAGCAATATTTTTGAGCACCTTTGTCACCTTATTTCAAATAATACCAAAAATAATTCTGCTGCAATATCAAATAGGATGAATACCTATTTGTGTTTAATCTTCACTGGTTTCTTTCCTATGGAAGATTAAATTCTGTACCAACGTACTAAATTATGGCTTTGTTATTACTAAAAGCAGCAGGAAAAGTGATTTCTGTGAAGTATGCATATAATTTTTTTCAATCTTTTGGTAAAACTTGTAATATACGTATTTCCAAAATTTTATAAATGGAAAATGGGGTTCTTTCATTTAAAATTGTGACCCTGTAACTAGAGCTAATCCTTTGTAGATTTAAAGTAGAACTGTTTGAAATAATTCCCTGTGGTAGGCTTAATCTAATATTTACTAGTGAAAGCTTGCTGTTCTTCCTTTTTTCCCTACTTAAGAAAGAGCAGACAACTGGTTTGGGGTGAGAAAATGCATCTTTCAAGCTGCTTCCCATCTCCTCTTCTCACTAGATTTGTGCTGCTCCTACACAGCTTCACACTAGGGAGCAATGTGGGGTTGTTGGTTAGGGATAAACCGTTTTAGCATATTGCAAAAGTCTAGCCACAGAACTTCCTAGAAAAATAAAGGTACTCACAACTATTTCTTTGAAGGAGTGCTACAATTTAGAAAATCAGATATAGGTGACTTACGAAATGTGCCAAACTGCAAGGGGAGTGGCGTGTGGCAAAAGTACTGTATTTTCAAGTAATGGGAAATGCAACCAAAGCCTAGTTAGGGCAGCATTGGCTTTTTGTAGCTTAATGTTTCTGAGATTGTGAATGATATAAACCAAAAGCATAGTGTTTGTATGCTTGGTAATGCACATAACTTGGTACTGTAAATAAAATGCAGTAAGTTTGGGGGGTTTTAAATGTTTGTTTCAAGCATAACATTTAAATCTAATGTATAGTCTAAGTTGTTTCAGAGCCTGAGAATGATTCTTGTGGATAAGGTTTCTGAGGAGTAAGAATCTGAATTTTTACAGGATAAGTGAGTTACTGGGTACTACAGTGTGGCAGCAATTGCTGCCATTCTCTGTGCTTTACCTTCTGGTCAGGCCTTACATTAAAACTACAAATGTCAAATCTTGAAGGATTGGAAATGTCTTGTGGAGATTTGGAAAGCTTTGCTTTCAGATTTGCTTGTCACTCTACTGAAAGTTGTTGTTCAGACTTCTAAAACAAACAAACAGAAACAACCCGCAAGTCTTAGAAAGGAGACAAGGATGAAATTTTTTTTGAATACTGAAGCATGTATAAAACCAAATATTGATTTCAGTGACACAGTTATACCACTAAGGAAGGTGCGACATTGAAAATTTTCTAGAATTAAATTTACATGGCATTACTGGATTCCTTGTGGGTTTTAGTATTTGTTGTCTTGGCGTATCATATGCTTAGGAAGAAAAATAGATTAAACAATTAATTCTGATTTGTTCTAGAAAGCTGTACCTTATGCATAAGCTTCTAGATAGTTAAAAAATTCTCTCTTAATATGGCAAACAAATAATGTAGTGCTAACTACAAGGTACTTGCTCAATACAAAATCTACAAATATTGGAAAGAAGACCATAGATTTCTTATATGTTAGACACAGCAAGTGAACAGTATTTTAAAAGAGGATTGAGTATTAAGGTGGACAGCTTGGTGAAGAAATTGGTGAAACTCTCACTTGAGGTTTCTGCAAAATGTGGGAGGCATGAGATATGAAATGGCAGATAATAAAGAAATATATTGACTGCCTTACAAAAATGTATGTTAAAAGTACTGCTCTGAAAACCAAGGGATAAGAAGTACTTACAGGTGATCTACACTACAGGTGTGTTTTCCTACCTAAAAATAAGTTTAACAGTACAAGTACATAATAATCTGAGGTAGAGAGAAGACTATCTTGTTCTGCATCAGAACAAATCTTGAGGAGACATTTAATTCAGTCAACCAAATTCAGAAACAATTAGAACATTTTAAAAGATCTCTATTTTATGTAATGCATAATTGGACTGCAGAGCTCATTGTTACCACTGTCTTTCTGGGATCAGTGTTTTCTATACAGATACCCAGTTTTTGTGAACTTTCCAGCATGGAGATGTAAGTGTTGATGGTGACTACAGATTTTTAGAACAGATGTTGCTTCATACTTCAGGATGGCTACCATGAGATGGGCTTGAGGTGGGGCTGATTGATGTTGGTGCTCATGCAGTGCTGAGTTTCCACTGCAGCTTAGACCCTGTTGCACAAAAAGGTATCTTAGTAAACAGATGGAGGGCAGAAACATGCAGAAGTCACCCTGGAAGTTCTTGCTTAAGCCAAGGAGACCCAAACCTTCAGTCTGTCAATCAGGCCTTCCTTCTTGTCCTGTCTCTTCCATGAAGAACTGTAGTATATAACATGTACCATTCAAAGCTCTCCCAGACAGCAGAAAAAATTCTTGTCTTCACTTCTGGGCAGCCTTGCTCCTTCTGCTGCTTGGGTAGCTTCTGAGTATGTGAGTGTATTCAGGCCACACTGATTTTATGCCACTGTAAAGAAATGCCAGAAGTAGATAGGACTGCACTAGTTCAGTTTATTTACATTCAGAAAATTATATTAATGTATTTGGAAAGATACACATTCATTTACTTTCTCATGAATGATATCAAGACTTTTGTTTCTTAAATCTTAACTGCATTTCTGTTTAGAACCAGGTGGCTGAAGTATATGTCTATGTATGCCCATCAGTTCTCCTTATGCTCAGGGATTGGGTTTGTAGTCATTCGTTTGCATGCCTGCCACTTCTAAGTGCAGTTTGAATAAAAAGTGGAGAAAAGGAAATGTGAAGAACATCACAGTTACACAGGCACTGTTATTCCAAGAAGTAAAATTCTTATATGCTATACACCTTTCTTCTCCCCATCTCAATGGATCAAACATCTCAAAAGCAAGACTGTGACACCACGGCTAATAGGGAACTCTTCCACCTAGAATCATCCTGGCTTAATTTTTAGTGAAGAGAAACAAAGAGGGAAAGAAGGTGGGAAAATGGTCTGACTGTGTAAGTAGGTGCAAGAAAGGCATGAGTATGGTGTCATGCTATTGCTTCTTGAAAAGCACTGTTGTCCTGCACTTACAACCGCAGGCAGGCAGGAGAAGCAATTTAGAGGTTTGATATGCTGCAAAGTCATGGTAGAGCTTAGACACCTTTTCACTGCAGAAATATGTTTTTAGTTCAGGCATTTGACATTTGTGTAATGATACATAGGTTTTCCCATAGCATATAAGACTCGTGTAAACCTGATACACTATAGAGACTTTGAAATAGGATGTTTATGCAGGTTCAGAAACACTTAAGGTAGTTCTTTACCCAGTCTGGAGCAGGAACAAATCATTTTTGAGTACAAGTTGGAAGCTGTGGGTCTTTGACATAAAATGTAACATTATATTACATTTTCAAGTGGCTTAATCTTTCACATGCTGATCAAAATACCTCCTGTCACAGCTGAACCAATGTAAATTGCCTTGATTAATTTTTTATAAATACAGCCTGTGAATATACTTTATTTTCCTTTGAATGTCTAGAAACAAAATTTCAATGCAACTGAATAATTTGTAACAAGATATTAACTCTACTAACAACTATTTTGAAATATGTGAAACAACATTTGCTTTCCTTTTGCATCTAAATGTTGAAGACTAAATATTTTCTGTATTTACACTTTATATATAAGCTTTAGAATAATTTTACCCTTGACATAAAGAATTTCTGGTCATTTTGCTACTGTTTTGACTGCAAACAGCTTTGTTCTTTACTGTTTTACTGCACAATGTTTCACATATGCTGAATCTTGTTAACAGGCTAATCTTGTGCTTAGTATTTTCTCCCTCTGTTACCTCATGCTCCAAAAGAGCAAGTTTTAGAAATCAAAGTTGCAAATCTCCAATTTTGTTTCTGTTTATCTCTCTCAGCATTCTCCATCGGAACCCTTTTTAGAGAAACCAGTGCCGGATATGACTCAGGTTAGCGGACCGAATACCCAGCTAGTGAAAAGTGATGATTATCTGCCGTCAATTGAGCCGCAGCCACAGCAAAAGAAAAAGAAAAAGAAAAACAATCACATTGCTGCAGAAGGTCCCAGCAAAGGTTTTGGTAAGGAAGACTTTCCTGGGGGACTTGACAGCCAGAATCTAAGCAGAAATTCAGTGGATTGCTCCCAAGAAGAGAAGAAGAAAAAGAAAAAGCCCAAGGCAAAAAAAGAACCGAAGGATCCTAAAGAACCCAAGGAAAAGAAGGAACCCAAGACCCCCAAAGTCCCTAAGACCCCTAAAGAGCCAAAGGAAAAGAAAGCAAAAAATACCACGCCAAAACCCAAGACCAGCAAAAAGGCTAGGTAAGTCAGGAAACTTCTGTATGTGATCAGAGAAAAACAGTGTGTTTGTGGGATTTTTAGAGCATCTGTGCTAAATGGCGTGGGTGGAGAGGAAATCTTGTTTTGTCGTTTGCCTTCTACCATCTACAACATCATGTTTTTGAGAAGCTTGGGCACATTTCTCTTGTTTGACTTTCCTGTTTATGGCTTCACAGTTATTTTAAGCAAGCTGGAAAGGCAGAAGGTTAATTTTTCCTTTCAAGGCAGAAAAGTTTCTGGATGTGTTGGATTTCAAAACTGACTCTTTCTCTCTTGTCATTATCAACATTTATGTAGCTTTGACCAAATTCAGAGATGAAGGCTTAGAGTAAAAACGTTTGATGATGTTTTTCCCTAAATAAAAAAATTAGGTTGTTCACGTTGTTGTAAGCTGTACCACACTGTTTTATACTAAAACAACCCATAGGTTGTGCTCTGCTGTTAAAAAGGCATTTTATATGGATATTGATGGGTCCTCACTGTAGGGATTGTATTCATTTTGCTGTTTCATGTAAAGACAATTTTCCTAGCAGAAAATCTTTGTGGACGGACCAGATGCTTGAACCCTGTTTCTTAACTGTTTTCATTCAGCCTCGTGTCCCTTTATCAGGATAGGCTTAAAATGCCACAGAGTAGGATGAGAAAGAATAAACTGCTGTTATACATGAGTAAATACATCACAGACAATAATACAGATTCTTTCCTTGCCCCTCACGTCCCTAAACGCCGTGTTTATAAATGCCTACTTGAAAGAAAATGGAGAGGAAAAAGACATTAAAGCCCAATTTTTTTTTTTCACTTGTACCTAGAATTTCTTACAAATGTTCTGAATTTTTTCCAAACATCTGAATATGTTTTTCGAGATGTGGCTAATGTTATAAAATATAACTTCCAGATGGAAGCACAGCCAGACTTGGTTAATCCAAATCAGTTTGCAAAACGCATTTGTATTAGCGTTTAAAAATTGCGGTTAATGAATCAGCCTTGCATGTATTCTACAAGATTGACTATTTATTGGGTAAGTTTGATCCAGCTACGTGGCTAAACAAGGCATGGACACTAAGATGTTACTTGCTCCTTTAGCAAGACAGAGAAGTTTCAGTGTTAGCAGAGACAATATTTCCTGAAGAACTTGTAAACACTGTCTTGATTTTACAAGTGTTGTCATGAACAGGTTATATTAACTGATCTATAAATTACAGTTGATCAGCCTATCCTTATTGCAGAAGTTACTTTTGCTGCGTACCAAACTGTCCTAAGGATGGGGTTTACATACGTAGCAGCAATTCACAGCTTAGAAAAAAAGTTATATATCACACAGTATGTATTTTTCACACCAAAATACTGTATCAGCTAAAATAACCTCAGAATGGTTGGGGTTGAAAGGGGCCCTTGGAGATCATGTAGTCCAACCCCCGTGCTAAAGGAGGTTCACCTACAGCAGGTTGCACAGGATCGCATCCAGGGCGAGTTTTTAATATCTTCAGGGAAGGAGACTCCACAGCCTCTCTGGGCAGCCTGTTGCAGTGCTCTGTCACCCTCAAAGAAGTTTTCCTTCATACTCGGATAGAACTTCTTGTGTTTCAGTTTATACCTGCTGCCTCTTGTCCTGTTAGTGGGCACCCTGAGATTAGCTCAGTTGGTTAAAACTTGGTGCTAATAATGCTGAGGTCATGGGTTCAGTCCCCTGCATGGGCCATTCACTTGGGAGTTGGACTTGATGACCCTTGTAGATCCCTTCCAACTCAGAATATTCTGTGACTCTGAAACATGCAACACTGAGCAGTGTCTGACTCGTTGTCTTGGCACCTGCCTTTAAGCTATTTGTATGCATTGACAAGATCTCTTCTCAGTTGTCTCCTCTCCAGGCTAAACAGGCCCAGCTCCCTCAGCCTTTCGTTTTAAGAGAGATGCTCCAGTTCTGTAGACTCACAGGTTTAAAGGCTGACCAGGCTACATAACTCATGGTATTGAGCATCTCCCAGCAATTTTTGCAACCAAAAAGTAAAAAATCTTTTACTGAAGGACTTCTGAATTAGTGCAGTTTTACAAAGACTTGACTACAATGAAGCTTTGTTTAATAGACCATGGTTAGAAGGAGTCTGCCTCAAAAACCATGCATGGGTTCCTGTGGTTGTGCTGGACATCAGACCTCTAAGCTAGTCTGTCCCATCCATTCAATCCTAATAATATCTCTAGGTGTGTCTTTAAATCTTGAGACACGCCATGCAGATTAAAGGAGCCATGGGACATGCCATGCGATTAAAGGAGCAGTGTTTCCTTTGAAGGAACAAATCACTGCTTTCTTAGATGTATTTGTAGGAGAGTCTTTATCTTCTTTCCCATGCAAGGACTCTCGTCCCTGGGTAGCTAGGTGACTTTCAGTATTCTAGTAAGTACTAAGCCCGTATTGTTTTACCTGTGAGAGAAACGTATTTGGAGCAGCATTAAGAGCATTCGATGTTCCTTATGCTTGCTCAGGGATGTGGAGAAAGTTCTACTTTTGCCATAGTGGGCTTGTGACTCTTGTTACCAAATGCTCTCTTGAAAACAAGGTTGTTCTCATTTTGTGGTCTTGTCAGCTTCAGTATCAAGCTTCTTTGAAGAACTCGGAGACTGTGTTGGGATGCTGTGCTGCCAAAGAATTTTAAATCAGTGAAAGAAATTTGCTTACTTTGGCAATGTCGCAGACTGGGGAACCTGTTCAGTGACAGATCACTGAATCGAGTTTTTAAATAAATCAACAGTCCAAATGTTTAATCATATGAGCCACAGTATTTCAGAGGCACTAACTATGGAAAGGAAATAGTACAGTAGCTGAGATGACTGAAATTAATGAAAGTTAATATAGATTATGGATGATTATGTAGAAGTAAAATATTTTTATAAAGTTAGTCTCTGGCATGTCTTTACTACTACTGCTTGTATTGCTCGGTATTTTACTTCTAAGCACTGGAAGGAGTAGTGTGATTATTAGATTTCTAAATGCTGTCTATAACTAACAGCTCTCATTCCTGAATAAGCTGATCAGTTTCAATAAAAGTTTTGCAGTCATGTAAAATTCTGGTAAATAAAATTAGGTATTTATTGAAGAGCAACAGTTTTTTGATAGAGCGCAGTGAGTCCTTGATAGTTAATTTTGACACAGGCTGTATAAGAGTATACACACAGATAAAATATCTGGTATTTAGTTATCTTAACTGTTTTGTAATTTAATATAGCTCATAACCCTGTTATTTTGCTTCCAATTTCGACTGAAAGTATAATCCTTTTACGTAACAAACAAAAACTCAGAAACTCTATCCTTGACATCTCTTTTATCTTTTGCGTAAGTTGTGACAAAATGAACAGCCTGCCTCACTGAAATGCACCTATGTATGAGTCAGATTGGAGAATGGCAGATGCTGATTAATTTCATGCTTGTTTGAATTGTGTGTCCTGTGGCATCTTAAAAAGAAAGAAAACACCCAAATGGGCTGCTTGTATGTTACACTGCATAGTGAAAGATAACACACTAATATTGTACTATTACACTACTAATGGATATTAGCCCAATCTTGGCAATACAAAAAGACAAATATAGTGGTGACTAGAAAAAAAAAATTTGCAAAACAAATCTCTTGGGGACCAAACTAGTCGAGTTTTAAAGCAAAATGTAGGTATACCTTGGATCACAGGTAAAGGGGTTTCATTAAATTGTGTGGATGCTGAGTATTTAGTGGGCTCTAGGTGTTATGGAGCCAACTCCAGGCACGTGCAAAGCAAGCAGATTTTTCCAAAAGGAGATGGAGAGGGAAAGGCAAGTAATCCTACTGAACTGCAAAGTCATGGCTCATATGTCTGTTCCTCCTGTGCCTGTCCCTGGAGGAGAGGAGGACCACCTGTTTGAGAAGATCACACTGCAGCACAGCTGATATCTTTCCCGCTGTTTCCTATGAAACCCTAGAGAGTGGCCACCGGTTATGGTGGGAGAAGCAGTAACTATTTGCAAGGGCCAAATGGCAGCTCTTTGCAGTAGTTCTTCCCTCATCCCATCTTCTCAAAGCAGAGTGCTGTGCTTTGCAGGGCTGCTTGTATCTGCTCCCTCCTCCCCTCCCTGTGGCAGAGAAAACTCTTTATTCTTCCCACACAGAGCAGCAGCCTGGGATGTAGTGTAGGGTGAGTGGGTTGCTGCTTACAAGGGGAGTGCTAAACATGAGCATAATTACAGCTTTTAGAGGGAGGTGGAGAAGGGCTTTTTGGCGCACAGATTGGCTGTTTATTGTATCGGAAAGGGGATGGCTCCTGGCCGCGGAAGTGGGAAGAGGCTGCTGTGTGGGGGAGCAGTGAGGACAGCAGGACGCAACACCCTGGGGAGCTGGAGGACAGGAAGAGAGGTCCCGAGGCAGTGGTGGTAGTTTCCACTCCCAAGGTCAGATCATCCTGAGCAAGGCAGGAAGGGGCTGCCTGTGGGAGAGAACAGGAAATCATGCGAGATTTCCATGCATATGTCCACTGAGGCTGTTCCTGTTCACACCTGTCCTCATCTCCCTTTTGAACCAGCCCAGCTGCCTGATATTTACCTTTGCCTGTGCTGCCAGCAGGCCTTGTAGGCTTCACTGTTACCAAAGGTTTTTAGTAATTTGGCTGACTTTTCAGGCTGGAAAAAAACCTTGTTTTCCTACTGTTTTTCCTACTTTGGTGATATATAAAAATTCATTTAAAGAAAAGTTTTGATTACACTAGGAGCTTTAAAAAATAACTGTTTTCCTTGGGTGAGACAGTACAGTTGTCTCCCATTGCTGACACTTTGAGAGGGTGGGATTATTTTTTAACTATTTTTATGCTTCACAGTGGATGTTTAATATTTTTTTAAGCCAGGTTCCAATCATGAATCTGTCACAGGACAGTGTTCCCAAATGTTAAAATAAGAATCAGTAATCCATCTGACTTATTTTAGATCATAGAACTCTAGAAAAAAACCCATCCCAATCATGATAGTTGTCATAAATTATACTAATAAACAGATCTATCAGTTACCCAGATCAGATGAAGTAGTTACACAGTGTAAACATATGGGCTAATTACTTCCCCTGTTAATCCTGCGAAGTATGCCATGATTTTGGGGTTATTTTTGAGTCAGATGGTTTGGCCCTGTAAATTCCTGGAGTTTCACCTGGCTCTGTAGTTGGCTGCTAGACTAATTAACACAAAACACTTTGTCAGAATTTGGATACCATTTTCAAATTGTTATTCAAGCTTTGTTTTCAGTTGTCTTGCTTACTGTTTTACTCTTCAACCTGTTTTTCTTCATGTTGTTTGCTCGTCCGACCTTCTGCAGGTTTTCTCTATTGATCCCATTTGGTCAGTATGCTGTGTAGTCCTTGGGGGTAAGAGGATAAAACCAGAAAGTGGTATTGGACAGCTAAAATGTAAAACGTCTAATATGAGATGTCTGTATTTATATCACTTGAATTGAAGAGCCAGTTTAACTGACAGTTTTGAAATACTTTAGTGGTTTGTGTGTGGCAAATAGTACTTCTCCCAGATTTATAGTTCTTGTTTTGGGACTGGACTCTCTCTTGTCCCTAGGGGTACTTGGCTAAATTTTGCATTCATGCATGTGTAAAAACAAATTCTAGAGATAGTTGTCTAAACGTGTATATTACAGTTCACCTTCCTTGTTGCCAGATTTGGAAAGTACTATCAGATGTGCATCCAGAGTTGACCATTGATAGGGAGACCTAATGGTAATGGCACAGTCTCTAAGAACAGTCTCTAAGTACCTGCCTCTACTTCCATGTGGAATGGTAATTCTGTTCCCGGCTAACACTGTTCCTGAATGGCCTGAGTAGGATCTGCTGGAAAATGGAAAGGCTGAGTCAAAAGCTGGTACATTTAATTGTCAGGAACAAAACATACTAGCTCTGTGGGAAGATGGAGAGGAACAACAGTTGCTGACAGTTCCAGGGAGCTGATGTTCCCACTGGCCAGGTGAAGCTCCTGGGTTTGTGATGCACTGGGAAGCAGGGTCTTGCCTCACTGAGAGGGATGGTGCTGTTCTTCTATAGTTTATTTCTACTTCAGCTTTTTTTTTCCCTTTCCTTCAAGGAAACTGTAGCTGTGCATTTAAAAAGAGCAATTGTGCTGCTGAATTTAGAACTTAAAATTCCCAGTGGAGCTGCACACTGGCTTTGTTCTCCCAAGTTGTTGGCTCTTTCATGTGTCTGTTTATAACTGGCCTAGCAAGTGAATTGATTTGAAACTGTGTCCGAATTGCTTCGGTCGCCTCTCCGTTACCGAGAGTGACTGTGGGCCAAGGCGCACGGCTCGGGGGTATATATAGGTCACGAAATACTCATGGTTCAGAGAGGGAAAGGTCTCACAGAGGCCAGAAAGAAGCCCGTGTCGGGGCAGACCTGCCCGCAGCGCCGGCGTCTTTGTCTGCGCCCGGCCGGCGGGGAGCGCAGCGCCGTCGGTGGGTCGGCGGGTCCTCGTTAGCACTGCCCGGCCCTTCAGCGGGCTGGTGTTTTATCCAGCCTAGCCCACGCTATTCTTCTCGGCTTTAAGCCTGTTATTCACAGGCGGCCGTGCACCCGGGGCACGGCACGATGGCTGAGCTTAATTGCGCGCCCCGCTCCGATTTACGGGGGTCAGGGGCAAAAGGCGCGCCGGGCTGTCAGCGCGTTTCACCTGGCGGCGACTCTCACCTTTGATTTAAAGAAGTTCGAGAAATGTGTTAAGCGGGTTTGGTTTTGTTTCGTTGTGGGTCTTTTTTGTTTTGGTTTGGTTTTTTTTTTTGCTTTAGGTTGGGGGGGGTGTATCTGTGTTGCGCTTTTTTGTTTGTTTGTTTGTTTTTTGGAAGCGGTTTCGCGGTGATTTGATAAAAGGCGGTGTGTGTGTGGGGCTGGGCTGGTGGGGGGGTTCCCGTGCCGTGGCCGCGCAGGTGCCGGGAGCGGGCGGGCGCTGATTGAGGGAAGCAGATGGCAGCGCTCGGTGGCCGCCGGCCAGCGGAGCAGGTGCTGGTCACGTGGCCGCGGGTTGCCGGGGCGACGCCAGCGCTCTCGGCGTGAGGATGAAAAGGCGAAGGGGGCCCCGCTTCAGCTGCGGCTTTTTGTGCCATTGGTGGCAGCCAGAGCGGAAACAAGCGCCGGCGGGGAGGGAGGGGAGCCCGCCGGGCACCGAGCGAGGGAGGGGAGGAGGGAGCGAGGGAGGGAGGGACGCGCTGGCCGGCCCTGCCGCCCGTCGAGGCTCGTCCTGTGCCCGCGGTCCTCCCGCCCTGCCAAACTCTTCCCCTCACCCCTGTGCTCTGCCGTGTCAAACTCTCCCCGCCCCCCCCCATTATGATTATTTTTTTTAATTGTCGCAGTTTCACGTGGTTTTTTTTCTGAGCTGTGTTGCACCCTCTTAATTTCACAGAATTGCAGAATTAGTTAGAGTTGGAAGGGACCTCTGGAGATCATCTCGTCCAACCTCCCTGCCAAGGAAGGGTCACCTAGAGCAGATTACACAGGAACACATCCACGTGGGGTTTGAGTGTCTCCAGAGGGGGAGACTCCATGACCGCCCTGGACAGCCTGTTCCAATGTTATGCCACCCTCAATATAAAGAGGTTCTTCCTCATCATGAGGTGAAACTGCTTGTATTTTTGTTTATGGCCATTGCTCCACATCCTGTCACCAGGCACCACTGAAAAGCGTCTGGCACCACCCTCTTGACACCTGCATTTGAGATAGTTATGTGTATTAATGGATCACAGAATTGTTAGGGTTGGAAGGAACCTCTGAGATCATCTAGTCTCAGTCTTCTCTAAACAGGCCCACCTCCTGCAGTCTCTCCTCACAGGAGAGATGCTCCAGCCCCCTAATCATCTTTGTGGCCCCAGTAACTCCTTCTCTTTCTTGTACTGAGGGTCCCAGAACTGGACACAGTACTCTGGATGTGGCCTTCCTAGGGCCGAGTAGAGACAATTTTGCAATAATACAAATTCATGTTCAAACTCGAAGCCCTTTCACTTGTGAATTTCTTTTTTTTTTTTTTTTTTTTTTTTTTTTACTTTGAAATCAGCATTAGTTTAAACATAGGCTTCAAGGAGACAATGCTGCAACCAAGTTGTCCCAGTCCCAAGGACACATGTGGCCATATTAGGAAATTTAAAATTACGGCTCCAAAATGTGCTGTTGGTGGGCTAAAGTGCTGATCAAAACGAACAAGCTTAAAGCTGATGTTTAAATTAGAAGTTAAAAATCTAAAGATTTTGAAGGAAAACAAATCCCAGGCAGCGTCCCGGGTATGAAATTGAAATGATGAGTATGCAGAAGCCGTATAAAAGTGCTTGGTGACCTTACTGAGTGTCAGGTACCAGCACACAGCTCTGCTCTCAGGTGTCTCAGCACCTTCCCACAGCAAGCCCCTCATATTGGTAATGGGCCGTGGAGGGCTGACAACAAAAAATTAGTGAAAACCCACCTCAGATTCAAAGGCTAAATGTGCTTAAAAACTTCTACCATCGATCTCCACTGCCATTTAAAAATTTCACCCTTGCAATGCCACAGATTGTCTCAGTGAGTGATTTGGTGGTGGTGTATTTAAAGCCGGATTTTGATACACACGTCCTCACCTATTTCCAAGGCTCTGAGTGCAGCTGGAGGGAGACGTGGTCCCAGCTCTTCAGGTGGTGAATGTTTTTATGGGGGAGGAGGGGGAGAAACAATCCCCAGAACATTGCTCTACTGTCAGTGGAGATAGCTTTCTAGTGTTGTACTTTCTGGTGAGGTACCAACTGGGTGACTTATATCCCCCACAAGCTGCGGTTGCATGAATGGAAGCTGTATGGGTGCCCTAAGAGCTGACTCAAAAGTGCCCTTCTGCTTGGAAATACCAGGGATTGTAGAAGAAAATGAATTTTCTCATTCACTCCTTTGTTTTGGTAACGTTTACTCTAGTTCTGCTCACCTGGTCTGCATAGTTAATATCAAGACAAGCACATGCATAATCCTGTTTCTCTTCTCATGTGTCAGGTTGCCCAAACTCCACTTTCAGAAATTGCAAGTTCTGAGGAGAGCAGCTCTTCCTTTCTAGTTCCATTTTTAGTTTCTTGTTTTGTACACATCCAGTGTTGCTGTCTAAGGTATTGAAGGAAAGAAGTGAGGTATTTGTTGTTAGGGATTAGGAAACGTATAGTGATGGCCCATGCATCATTGATTTTGCAGTTGTGTTGAAATACTTAAGAAAGGCAGTTGAAATAATGAAGTCAAACATCAGAAAAAAAGAATCTCACAGATTAAGTATTTTGTTAAGCACCTCTTGCTTATATTTTTTAATAAATACTTATTAAAAATACCTCTGTTTCAGTAACAAGAAACAAGATTCAGAAACAAGTGCTGCGAAGAAAAAGGTTAACAAGGGAAAGGAAGGTTCAGAAAACTCAGATTTGGAGAAAACTCCACCACCATCACCTCATCCTGAAGATGAAGATGACCCAGGGGTTCAGGTAATGCTATTGTTCAAGTTCAGTGTAGGCTTTGACAACTTAGATGTGTAAAAACGTAGTTCTCATGGTCTTTGTTACAGAGATACAGCTATTTGGGTAATTTCTATGTTGGTTACAAAGAAGGTGAGACCTGGAAATCACTGTGGTGAATATTTTATGAAAGCAAGTATTTTTCTTCATAATTCTGCTTTATGGTCTTGTTACCTCTAGATATGTGTAAGGTGCTACTGAGTTTTCACGCGTTCTCTTCCATCACTGTTGCAGTTATGGTGCTGAATTTTCTGCTCTGTAGATTTAATGTACCATTACGAGATCTTGCTTATAAGCCTGGTGTTTCTTCTTGCATTCACTTTGCAAACCTTCTGAAATCAAGAATGAGACATGACAAAACACAGCGTTGGAAACGTGCATGTCAGGGACTTGTACCTACACTGCTTTAATGGATGAAGGGCCTTTCTGCAGGACTGCCAGTCATGAGCTAGCATTGATTAATTTCTCTTGACCACTGCACACCTGTCACTTTCTGTCCAAACTTTGTTTCATGTAAAGAAAATCTGAAAATAGATGTAGAATAAATGACAAGTTTTGTGTGCTCTGTCATTAGCTATGTTAAGAAGTGGTCAGCTCCTGGCTTGCTTCTGCTGGCACCAGTTTGAGTGGGCACTGAAAATAAGAATCCCCCCCATGAAGGGGTAGAGGCAAATTGTGATGGGGAAAGTATGAGATTCCTAAGAAGTCATAACGGTGTAATTGAAATCCACTGCATTTGTCCATTGCACATCAGGTTGTGGATGTGTTGCTTCTGGTTATGAGAGATGTCCAGACTGATTATCACTTGAGAATGGTCAAAGCTGCCCAGTGAAGATGCTGGCAAGCAATGGTGTCCCACACAAACATGGTTTATGCCTTTTCTCTTACTATTTTCTAGAAGGATGTAGGGTATTAGGAAATGTGAGCAACCTAGTATACTCTAGTTAAAAACAGCAACCGAAGAGTGTTTCTTTCTGATTTGTTCAAGCCATGTATTCTGAATTAGAAAAGTTGTTATACCATGCAGACGTTAAAATGTTTGAAGAATTAAGTTTTCTGTCCTGTGCCACAAATCTCTCTCAGCATGATTAATGACACTTAAAAAAGGTGTAGAAGAAACTTCAGAGATTATAGTTTTTTGGGGTCAATTTGCAGATGATTATATTCTGTTTACAATTCAACATCTAAGGATGGTTTACGTGTTTTCAGTGAAGTGGAACAAAAACTTTCTCTTTGTGAAACTCAATTAGTGATAAACTTTGGGCTTTTTTTTTTTAATAGAACTGTTAGGGTATTTGCATCACTTTTTATTTAAGTGTAATAAAGTATTTCAGGTAACTTTTGTTTTCTTAATACTTTCTCACACAGTGTATGGTATACTGCACCCACACTACTTTGCATAAACTTGGGGAAGGGTTCCAACGATATGTGCTAGGATAGATAAAATTAATAAGCTTGTTGTGCATTTCCCAGCTGAAATTGATGTTACGCAGTTGTCTAAAACACAGTTGTGTTCTTAGTGTTAAATCCTGAACCTTCTCTAAAGATATTATGTACTAATGCACAAAGCAACGCACTGTTATACTTAAGGAGCAAAAATACTTGCCTTTGTGTGTTGCCATGCAAACTTTTTATACTCCATTATCAAGCCTATTACTCCTTTCTACCTATAGGTCAGTTAATGAGTTAAAGATAATCTGATGCAGGTAAATGCATGCACAGTTTCTGACAATAATGCATATCAATTGCAAAAATTCATGTGAATGTAAGAGGAAACAGGAAGTTCATCAAGTCAGTGAAATTCAAATAAAGAACTACCATTATATTTTAGGCATTTTTTCTATTGGGGAAATGGAAAAAGAGATTTTTGGCACCAAAAATAATGGTAAGACTTACCTACACAGCCAGAAGAAAGTTGGTATTTTCCCATCTGTGATTATGTAAATGAAGATGCAAATTTGTCAAGTGGTGTCTGTTTTGAAGTATAAAAATATTGTTACAGTTTTGTGGAAACCCCCTTAAGTAACTGTGCTCAAGGTAGAAGCCACATCACCATTATTTAAAAGGATGATGTAAGCTTAACCATGGCTCAAAATTTTCATTTTCAGTTAAAGAAAGAATTTCTAATTTCGCGAAATGCATCAGATGTTTGTGCTTTAAAAAGCATGACTAACCATCCAAATGTAAATATTTGATTTTATCTATGTATATTGAGAGACTCAGGTGCATAGGTCTGTTAAACAAGCTGCATAAGTTTTTACATGTACCAGTGAAGATGTGTGGTAGCTGAGAAAGTTGTATAAATAAGTAGTGTATCAATTCATAAAGGTGGATTTTTAACAATTGATATTCAGTATATTTTTTAATAAATATATTAGTCCATTGAGATACTTGATGCTAACTTGACAGTTTCCTTTAGCAGCATATGCTCTCAGCTTTTCAAGATATATAACCTGATGCAGACTATCTGGGAATTTGAATTTTATTGTTGTAGAAAATGATGCCCAGCAACTGAGCATCAAGTAGCAAATTCTGTCAAATGCCTGCTTGTGTATTTTACAGATTGTTTTGTGTGGTTTTGCTGAAGCTTTCTCTCATCTTGGTGATGAGGGTGTGGGAACATAGAAATCATGTTTTCGGTTTGGGGTGGTTCAAGTTTTTCATTCTCCTCTATTAGTTTGGGGTCTTTTCCCATGCTGTGCAGCAGGATGCCTTTCTGAACAGTGCTGGGTCAGTGAAGTGAGGAAATCGTATTTCATTGTGTTTCCCCTACAAGATAATCCTGGTAAAACTGGGTGGACAGGGAGAGCAAGAGAGTGTGTTGTCACTGCTTAGCAACACTGTGGGCCATGCTGTGGAAAGGTGGTGTTCGGTTCCTGCATTGGCCATCTGTCAAAGTTTGTCAAAGATGTGAATAGAGAGGTGCAACTTCTTAGGTTTTAATTGCTTTCTGAGATAGATTTTCTAATTTTCTAACATGGTTTTAGTAATGTTAAAAACAAGGAGGGGGGGAAACCCACTTTCCAACTCAGAACAAGCATAAAGTAGATTTCTGTTTATGGTGGGTTTTTTTGTTTTGTTTTGGGATTTTGTTGTTTTTTACTTACAGAATTTAAGAACAGCTAACAGGCATGAGTTCAGAATAGTAGTATCCTGAGTGTAGTATTTCTACCGTGGTGCTGTAAAAATTATAGCATTCACTACACACTAGTGTATTTGAGAAACACAAAGAAGTTTTCTCAGTTATTCTGCTGCTCATCAGTTTTGTTTCTCATGAAAAATATTAATGCTTTCTATTCAGAAGCGACGCTCCAGTAGGCAGGTGAAGAGGAAGCGTTATACAGAAGACCTGGAGTTCAAAATTTCAGATGAGGAGGCTGATGATGCTGATGCTGCTGGAAGAGACTCTCCTTCAAATACTTCTCAGTCAGAGCAACAGGTCAGATATGAACAGACTGGTAAGGTGGCTGTAACTGCAGCATTGAAAGTTCAAATATGGACCCTTTTCCTGAATGATATTCGACATGGTTGTCAGAATGTGCCAGAAGGCATTATTTTTTTACATTCTTAAAGAATATATCAATTCAAGCTGATGATATGCAACTTGAAAGTTCAACTTAGCTTGAACTTTTGAAATTATTGGTCTCTACCTAGAGGAAACCTAAACTGTACTGCTAGGAATCTTGAATTTACTTCTGTGAATTCAGTGGTCTGGCTTCTGTGACTTTAATAAACCACTCAAGCTTGTCCCCTGCTGCTAGGCACCATAAGAACTCCTTTATGAAATTACTGCCTTGTAGTACCCAGCAGGGTACACTTTATTCTCTGTGCAATGTAAATGATGGATAAAATAGTTTGAATAAGATGAGGGGTTATATAAATGTAGGAATGACTGTTGTAACCATCTCATTGTTTTGTAGTGCTTTTTCAAAGAACTACTTCATTTAACTGATGACCTGTTGGAGAATATATACATGTTCTTTGGTATTTCATTTGGCAATTTGTTGAGCCTTGTGAAATATTGTGTGTGATCTTCATTGTTAATTGTGTCATATCAGAAAGAGAATTTTGTAGGTTTGCCTCCCATTGTATTAGTGAATTAATGTAATAGAGAATTGCAGGCAGTTTTGGTAGCGATCATGTGGACGCTTACACAGCCAACTGGAGTTTCTGAATATGATCCGATATTTAGACTGTATGGTGCTGAAAGTGTGTATTATTTTAGGAGAGGTGAACTGCCTATGTGGTTATACCTGTTTATCTGTGCGTGTCAACCTTACTGAGAGAATTGGAGTTGCATTAGCTTTTAAAAATGGGCTTAAACAAGTACCCTTCAATCCTTTATTGTGGTATTAAATCTATTTGACCCCTCTAAGTTCTCATGCTAGGGGAATAATATCCTTCTGTGTATTAAGCTCCTGTTGCAAGATATTATTTGAAAGTTTTTCTAATAAAGGAAGTCTCTAAGTAACAAAGATGCACTCCCATAACTCTTGTATGGTATTTATGATGTAGGAATCTGCTGATGCTGAAGGTCCTGTTGTGGAGAAAATCATGAGTAGCCGTTCAGTCAAGAAAAAGGTAAAACAAATCCCTTTCCCCCATATTTTTACATAGGCTAATCATATTTCTGCTGAAGCCCCTATTGAGTTCTTAAAATACCTTGGATATTCCAAATTGAAAAACTGTTCTATTGATTACAGGGGGTTCCCTGAAAGTGTATTTAGATAGTATGCTTTTGGATGCACATACACAAAATAGATTGTTTGATCTTCTACTCATTTCATGCATTTTCTTGGATGAAAAAATTGATTTTTGCAAATATAAATATCTCAGTGAAATCTGTGGTTCTCTTCAGAGTGATGTTTCGTAGGAGTTTGAGGAGTGAGAGAACACTCTTGCAACCCACCTTTCTGCCTTTTCTACCCTTGTCCATAATTTTTGCATCTTCTGATAGTGGTTGTGCTTAACAGCTAAAAACAAATTTACATGTGATCAAGTATGTTACATGTATAGGTGATTTATATCTTCTTGTCACTATGCTAAGATGGTGAAAGAAACACTCAAGTTCAGTGAGGTTCTCTTTTAACTCTGCCTTGGTTGCTAGTTACATTCTTATTTTGCTTACGGATTTTGCTAGTCTGCTCCACGACTTGATTGGCCTTTGCACTTCCAAAAGATTAAAACTCTGAGTAGGAAGTAGAAAAAGAACTTGTTCCAAAAAGGGCATGATTACATTTTACAGACTTGTGTAGCTAATTCTCTGACTTGTACTACGGTTTGGGGGTTTTTTTTGATCCGGGAGTTGTGTGTTCAATTTTCTTACTACTGTCCTAACATCGTTAACAGCTTTGTAAGTCTACATGCATGCAACATCATGACTGGCTGTGATTCAGTCTGACTTGCTTATGCTCCTTGCACACCATAAAACTTCTAGGGCTTTTTTTTTTTTTTTTAAGTCTAGAGCTATATTTTATGTTTCAAATCATAGGCTTATTTTTCAGATAAACTTCAGGTAATATAAAGTGACTAATTAGTTGTCCTGATGGTCTGCTAGGCAAGAGAGGAGAATGTGGTCTTTTCGTAAATGTCTTTACACTGGAAGCTGTTTTTCACCAATTATTCTTGTCTTCTTCCTCTCCCCTGCAAACAAAGGTGTGATTACTCATGGAGAGTGTGTATTTTGCTGCAGTTTGTGGGAAGTGGTTGGTCTGCTGCCTACATGTCTTTGATTGCAAGCTCTGCTGGAGGCAAGCTCTATATTGAGCTTTTTCTTTAATGTTTTTTATGGATTGTATTTGCAGGTTTGAGGGGTGTCTCTTCTTTCCCTGCTCTTCTCCCCAACCCACTTCTCCAAAATCCAAAAAAATAAAATGGATTTCAGGATGTTAATATTTAACATCTGAAGTATCCAACTGTGCTTTTATTAAAGGTCTTTTACACTCTTACTAACGTCATCAAAACCCTGGTTGTTAGATTACTAATCAAAGTAAAATTGCTGCGATCAGGACCAGTGCATAAAATAAACATGAGGAAAGGCTTCACTAGGAAACCTTTCAGTGGATTAGATTGTAACAAAGATGTTGCTTTCAGGTAGAGGACATGACATTAGATCATGGCTATGCTTTTGGAGCAGTATTCTTATCACAAAATCATGCTGATTTTCTCAGAAATAGTCTCAGTCTGGTTGTGGAGTAAGCAGATAGGATGCAGCCATTTTTGAAACATAGAGAGTAAAAGGTAGAAATTAGTTCATGTTTGAAGTATAAAAGACAGTGTTTTCCCTTGTCATCCTTAACGTGGAATGTTGAATTCCCTTGAATACTCTTTCCTCTTGCAGAAAGCATTAAGTATATGTATCACTGTCCTTCCCAACCTAATGTCTTAAGTTTATACGTTGAAATGTTTTTATACAGTCCCTTTTGAGTTTCCACTTCTTAACTTTGAAAAGGAATGTCTAGAGCTGAATATGGTATCCAGCACAAATAGCACATATTATGGAAAGATGTGGAGTTTGTATAACATTATACCTGCATGTTACACATCTGAATGTGTCTTTTTGCCTACAAGTATATGTGAGAATTAGACCTAATTGAAATGTGTACAACGCCTACATCTCTTCCTCAAACTGATAAGTTTACAATCTAGTGCTGTGTATCAATTGAGGTGATTGTTTCTTATGTGTTGCTTTGCATTCCTTGAAGGAAGGGATCATTTATTTACTCAGTTATCTGCAGAGACTGTAGATCAGATTGTCAATTCTGGTTGCAGCTGGCAGTGATAATTTGAAGTGTCCTGCATTGCCCAAGTCTGCCATGTGTTATTTGAGGATGTCTCCATAATCACTTTGGGGAGAATTTTGCATAAATGTTCTATCTCACCTTTTTACCTGGTTAATGTAAATGTACACGTAGTGGGGGTTGAACAATGACGTCAGGGTCACAAGCTGCTGTCCCATATATCCCAAACTGTTACCTCCTACTTGAGGGCTGGCAATTGGAACTTGATTAGATTTTTGGAGGAGGGCATAAGTGTTGAATGCCAGACTAAGATTTTAAGAACATTTTTTCTGAAATACCTTTTACTTAAATGAATCTTTGATGCATTCTCATGGAACATATAATAACATAGACCAGTTATTACCTGTTAGACAATACAAAAGTGTTTTACTTGTGAGAGTTACAGGATTTATCGAGATCTACATTGTAAATTATTGTTATTAAGTTGGCAGCTGACAGAAAATATGCTTGACTGAAATACTGTTGAGGGGAGTTAAATTGGCTAATATGAAACTTCTATGTAAAGGTGTTTAACCATGTTGTCATTGTAAGATTGATGGATCTCAGAGGACTCTCATTTAACACTAATCAAAGAGACTTGGCCACAATACATTTTAGAAAATAAAAGAATTTAATGTCTTAAAATTAGAGTTGACTTCTTAAAGACCAATTTTGCCTCAGGGCACTGAGTAAGTTCCAGATAATGTGATCTTCATTTATTAATGCTTCTTTTTTCAAAGCAGTTTTGATCTCTAAATATGAATACCTTCTTGAGAAAGGCCCTTTTAAATTTTTTGTTTAAAGGAGAATCCTGATGGTCTTCAGATTCCTTCCTTTGACAGTGTCTTTGTAAGTGACAGAGAAGTTTCTTCCCTGTGTTTAGGGGTTGGGGATAGTTTTGACAGTTTATCTTCTTTGACAGAGGATTCTAAAAGATCAAGAAGTAGTACCAGGAATACCTTATCTTCTTCCTTTTCTTTAGGGAGAAATAGTTGAAGTATGGTGTTGCTCCTCTCTCTAGAAAGGAACACAAGCAGACTGCTGGAGTGATATAAATACTAAACTGATAAAATCCCTTGCTAGTCTGGAAGCAAAGAAATACTGTGTGAATCAGGGACTAGAAATTAATGAACTTTACTGTGCTAGAACACAGTTTAATGCAGTTGTTACTGTTGTTCCTTAACTGCACCGCTGTGGAGGTAACATCTAGCCAGCAACTAGGAGACAATTCAAGCTTTAGCGTAGTCTCTCTTGTGTGTATATATATATTTTCTCTCTCTTTTTAAAATGTGTGTATACAAATACAAAGAGTGTTGACTTACACAGCAGTCAACAGTTTTGTCTATTTAGTGCTGCATACAATATTTATTACAGATGTTGTTGTCCCTGATAAAGTATGTAAAACAGAAAATGCTCTTCTATTTAAAATTGTTCCAAAGTTCATTAGTAAACACAAACCGTTAATGTTGTGACATAAACTGAATTCTAATTGTGTGCCTGGTGCACTGTCCTTAGTTTGTCCTATGGCTGGGTTCAGGAGTAATTCAACAAAGTATTACATGCCATATGTTATGCAATACTTTGGCACTAGGGATGAGTTAAGGATAGTCTCAACCCTTAGCACTGAATGCCCTTGGTTTTGCTGGTTTATATCACAATTTTAACCTTGCTTTAAATGTAGTTTTTGGGTGTTAATTTAATTTGGCTGCTCTGTATGTGAGACATCTTGCCTGAGTGAATTTAATTGCACCATTGAGTAAAACTAAAGCCATGAACACTGATG